AAAAGTGGCAAAAGGCTTGCTAGAATCCCAAAGTCTCTAAAGGCTAGATAAATATTTAAAAAAGATAAAAAAATTAGCTAGCAGCTATAAGTATTTAAAAGACTAGCTGGAAACAATAAGTAGCCATGAACTGACTAAAACCTAAAAGTAGCAAAAGACCAGCGAGAAGTTCTCAGAAGCAGAACAGTAGCTAAAAGCATCAAAATGGTTGCTAAAAGTTATTAGTAGCAGACTGATAGCAAAAAGCTAACAAGTAGCAAAAGCAGACGATGCAGCTGTATGCTGAAGATTTTAAAGAGAAAAGTTTTAGAAGTATTGAAGAGGTAAATATTTAAAATACTGTAGTTTAAAAGGACAACAAAAATCAGAGCACCCATCTCCTCGATGAGCTGAACATCTTGATATACGAACAGCTAAAATCTCAGAGTACACAGAAACAGTCCGATTGGAAGAATAAAAAACAAGACGACGACGTGAATGCTGACTCAGCACTCCTGCTACCCAGGACTGAATCTCACCTTGTCGAACTCGTCGATGCAGACCACTCCCCCGTCAGCCAGCACCATGGCCCCGCCCTCCATGATGAACCCACGGGTGGTGGGGTCCCTCAGCACCGAGGCGGTGAGCCCCGCTGCGCTGCTGCCTTTACCCGACGTATAAACCTGCGGGCCACAGAGACACGGCTGAGCATCACAGCACTTCACTCCGCGGATTACAGATCCGCCCCGGAGGGTGAGAAATTACCCCGATGGGCGAGCATCTCTCCACGAACTTGAGAAGCTGAGACTTGGCTGTTCCGGGGTCTCCGAGCATCAGCAGGTTGATGTCGCCCCTGCGAGTGAGGCCGTCGGGCAGCCTGAAGACACAGAAACAAACGCCGCTTGAACGAGAGGACGCCTCGGTTACAGACGAGCTCAGGATCGATTCTGCAGGGTGACCAAATCGTTACACCTCCACCACCGTGTTGACGGCTGGTATGGGGTTTGTGCTGATCTGCTACATTTAGTTGCTGTGCATTATGGGTAAACTTCTCTACTTTGGTCTCGTCTGTCTTCTGGGTCAGTGAGCCGTGCTGCCACGTTCTTTTCTTTCTCCTGAGAGCCCGTCCAAACACACCAGGCTTTCCATTTTTCTGGCCGTCGTGCTCCGACACCTTCACAAACGAGCAGATCTGAAAGGCAGCCGCACCTCTTCCTCGAGCCTCCGAACAGCAAACAGGTGATGGCCTTCTTCAGGTCGTCACTGCCGTAGATGGACGGAGCGATGGAGCGCGCCAGAGACTCGTAGACGTTCGGCGAAGCGGCGAGAGCTCTCAGCTCCTCTTCTTCCTGTGGAGACACCGACCCAGTGGCACCGCGGCCTGCAGGGGACAGAGCACGGACTGAAGCTGCATTCTAAAGGCAAACAAACAAACAAACAAACAAACAAACAAACAAACGCAAGTCGAAACCCACCTGCTCCCTCTGTGTCCACCTGGATGCCGACCACTCGCAGGTAGGACGCCCGAATCCCGACGCCGACACCTTTCTCTCTGCCTTTGGCCTTGGCAGCAGCCACCTTCTTGATCGAGTAGATGCCCATGATGGTCACCCTGTTGCCGGGGACAACACGGTCGCACAGATACCTGGAAGAAGAGGAGATCAGTTCACACCGCCCGCCCTGGACTGAGCGTCTCCATCAGAGACGACTCCTCTACCTGTCACAGTAAAGCTGCAGGTGGCGGGGCATCTCTCCGTGAGGCACAGCGTCCGGAGACTCCTGCAGACGGAGCGTCTGGAAGTCGACGCAAACGCAGCGGTCCGGGATGATGAAGTACGGGTCCACGGGGCACTTCACCCTCACGGCATTCTCACTGAGGGAGGACAGCTCGTTAGAGTTCACGCGGCTCGGTGCTGAAACAAACCGTCCTTCCGGTCACGCCCACCTGTTGCACTTGCGGGGCAGAGCGTAACCCTGCAGGCCCGGGGGCAGGGGGATGTTGTTGATGACGGCGCGGCAGCCGCGACACTGCAGACACACCTTGGTGGCCTTCGCCTTGACCCCCGTGGCCGAGATGATGATGCCGTGCACCTTCACCAGACGGGACACCTGCTCCGACTGCACGAGAGGAAAATTAGATGAGAAATGATGGAGTCGTAGCCGTTTTTGGTCGTCCGTTGATGTGACAGAAAAGATCTTGAGTGCTCAGAGCATGTGTCGAGGATGAATCTGAGCTACTTCATTAAAAAGCATCTAGAAAACTGACCGAGGCGCAGCGTTTATTGTGTTGGCTAATGTTTATTTATGGCAGCCATCTTGAATTGAGACGGCTTCCAAAATCAGTCACTAATAGATGCTGACCCATAACTTACAGCGAGTTTCGTTAACATTTGTTCCGTGGTTCATGACGTAATTTACAAACATGTCTACACAAACAACGGTATTTTCCTTTAGACTTTTTGCGGGCGATAAAAACCAAAAGAGGCACCTTGAGGCTGCGAATGGAAGCATGGTGAGCGTCGCTCTTCAGCATGACCTGGATGTCCTGCACAGTCTCCTCCCCGACAGGTCGAGGACGAGTCACCTCGTCGGCCACCTCTTTAGCAGCTTCTTCCAGCTTTATTTTAAAACAAACAAATAAATTAAGAGGAAAGGAGCGAATGCTGAACGAACAATGACTCAACAAATGGGAGGCTCACCAGCGGCAGGTTGTCAGTAGGCAGTTTGTAAAGACAGTCGGACAAATCTTCATCGAAGCTGGCCAGGTCCTCCAACTCCACCTCCACCCAGTACTCCCCCAGGGTGTAATGTCGCTTCAGCTCATCCCTGGAATAAAAACAGCAATGGGTCACGGTGTGGAGAAAAAGACCAACACTCATAATAAACTCCAAGATCTCACACAAGCTCAGATAAACGACTTCTCATTGGTGTTTGTGTACAAGCCGAATCAGCATTACACAGATTTTTAATTTACTGTAAGCTTGTTTTTTTTTTTAATAACTCAACTCTTTGTGCCATTTCAGCTGTTCATACATCAAAACATGTTCGTATGTTACATGTTCACAAACAGGTCTCTCTTATAAATGAGTCCTCGTGGCTCAATGAGACTAACCTGTAGAAATAAAGGTTGAACTGGAAAAAAAGTTGAATATAACAAACGTCAGATCATTCAGGAAGTGCGTCCTGAGACGTTTGGTTTACTAACTTTACTTAAAAAATATTTTATCCACATAAATACTTAAAAAAAAATCTTAATTCCTTAGAAAATCTTGTCTTTGAAGTCTGCTCCAGCATACCTGCTTTATTATAATCTTCTTATGCTACATTTAGCTTCTAGCTAGCCTTTTACTACATCAAGCTTTTAGCCTGATCAAACTTTAGCTAACTTTTGCTTTAGCTTCCAGCTAGCCTTAAGCTAAGTTTAGCTTCCCGCTAGCCTTAAGCTAAGTTTAGCTTCCCGCTAGCCTTAAGCTATGTTTAGCTTCCCGCTAGCCTTAAGCTATGTTTAGCTTCCCGCTAGCCTTAAGCTAAGTTTAGCTTCCCGCTAGCCTTAAGCTAAGTTTAGCTTCCCGCTAGCCTTAAGTTAAGTTTAGCTTCCCGCTAGCCTTAAGCCATGTTTAGCTTCCAGCTAGCCTTAAGCCATGTTTAGCTTCCCGCTAGCCTTAAGCCATGTTTAGCTTCCAGCTAGCCTTAAGCCATGTTTAGCTTCTAGCTAGCCTTAAGCCATGTTTAGCTTCTAGCTAGCCTTAAACTATGTTTTGCTTCTAACTATAATTTTGGCTACATCTAGTTTTTAGTTAGCCTTAAAATAATTTTAGTTAACTTTTAGCATTATTTAGTTTCTAGCTAGCTGTATGCAACTTTTAGCCGGACTTTTGCTGAATTTAGTTGCATTTGTGTACCTTTTGGCTTTTTACAAGGTATTTGCAACTCTCAGCTATCTTTTTGTTTAATTTATGTTAAAGTTAGCCTTTCCTTACTTTTAGTTTCCAGTTACCT